ATCGGGAAACTAAAGAATTGAAAAACTAAAACATCTAAACTTTGGCAAGTCAAATGGAAAAATTGAAAATTTAGAAACGTCAGAAATTAAAAAATCGAAAAATTGCAAAATCGTGAAGCTAATAAATTGAAAAATCAAAAAATGACGAAATCGAGGAATCGAAAATTTGAGGAAGTGAGAAATTGAATAATCGAAATATTGAAAAATTTAAAATATAAAAATTAAAAATTCAAAAATTAAAAAATTGAGAAACTTAAAATTTCAATATCGAAAATTTGAAAAATCAAAAATCGAGCTATCGAAAAGTCGAAAAACTGAAAAATCAAAAACCTGAAAATCGAAAAACCATGAAATCGAGTAATTGAAGAAAAAAAAACTGAAAAATCCTAAAACTAAAATATCGACAATTTGAGAAATCGAAAAAATGAAAAATAGAAAAATCGAGATTTTAAAGAGAAATTAAAGAATCAAAAAATTTAAACATCTAGACCTCAATAAATCGAGAAATAGAAAAATGGAAAAATGAAAAAGCTAAAATCGTGAAGTCGAAAAATCAAAAGATCGAGAAACAGAAACATCAGTAAACCGAAAAATCTATAATTTGAAAATTTGAAAAATTGAAAAATGGAGAGATCAAGAAATCGAAAAATCTAGAATTTAAAAAAAATAAAAATTATATCAAAAAATTGAAAAATCTAAAATTTAAAAATCCAAAATCTGAAAATTCAAAAGATTTAAAAATTAGAAAAATTACAAAATAGAAATATCGAAGAACTGAAAAATTTAAAATTGAACCATCGAGAAATCTAAACATAAAAAGATCGAGAAGTCTAAAAATCGAAAAATTGAGAAATCGAAATAAGCCAAAATAAGTTAAAATTGAAAAATTGGAAAATTTGGGATGAAAAAATTTGAAAAATCGAGCAATCAAAACATTCGAAAATCGAAAAATCTAAAACCGAGAAAGAAGTCGAAAATCGAAACATCAAAAAAAATCTAAAACAAAAATTGAAAAATTTAGAAATCGAAAAATCAGCAATTTTGATAATCGGAAAACCAAAAAAAATCAGCACTTTTAAAAATCCGAAGATGCATAAAGCGAAAAATCGAAGTTGCAGCATTCGAAAGGTCAAAAAATCGAAAAATTAAAAAATCCAGAAATTAGAAAGTCCCTAAAATTGAAATTTTGAAAAATTGCGTAATTGAAAACTTGAAAAATCGAGAAATCTATTAAACGAATATAACTAAGAGGTCAAATAAAAGTATCAAAAAATCAACTATTTAAAAACTCGAATAATTGGAGCATCAAAAAATCTGAAATTTAAAAATCGAAATCAAAAAATCGAAAAACCGGGAAATTGAGGAATCGAAAATTCGAAATTTAAAAAACTAATAAATTGAACAATCGGAAAGTTGAAGAATCGGAAAACTAAAAAATGGGGAAATTAAAAAATTACTAAAAGTGAAATGACGAAAAATTAGGAAATCGAAAAATTGAAAAATCCAATAGCGAAAAATTCTAAAACATCGAGAAATCGAAACATAAAAAGATCGAGAAATCCAAAAGTCGAAAAATTGAGAAATAGATTTAAGCCAAAATAAGTTAAAACTGAAAAAAAAATTAGAATTAAATAAAAAGTGAAAAATCGAACAATCAAAACATTTAAAAACGGAAATGTCGAAAAATCGAAACATCAAAGAAAAAGTTTAAATTTAAAAATCGAAAAATTTAAAAATCAAAAAATTAGAAATTTTAAAAATGGAAAAATTAAAAAATTAAAAATTAACAAATCAGAAAATTAAAAATTTTAAAAATCGGAAGATTGAAAAACCGAAAAATCCAAGATCCAACAATTCAAAGGTCAAAAAAACGAAAAATTAAAATTTCCAAAAACTGGAAAGTCCCGAAAATCGAAATGTTGAAAAATCTGGAAATCAAATAGTCAAAAATTTTGTAAAAAATAATCGAGAGATCAAGAAATCAAAACATCAAAATATCGAAAAATCTAAAAAATGAAAAATCGAAAATTCTAAAATTTTAAATTGCCAAAATTGAAAAATCAAAAAACTGAAAAGTCGAACATCTAGAAATGTAAAATTTAAAAAAACCGAGAAATTGAAGAATCAAAAAATTGAAAAATATAAAATTTTAACATTGAAAAATTGGAGAATTTCAAAGTTTCTATATTTTACAATTTTTCTATTCTTCAATTTTTCGATCTTCAGGTGTTTCAGTTTTAGGATTTTTCAATTTTTCAAATTTTGACGCTTCTAAAGTTTCAATTTTTTGGTTTTTCAATTTTTCGATTAAGTGATTTTTGGATTTTGTGATTTTCCTATTTTCTCGATTTTTCAGTGTTTCTATTGTTCAGCCTTGCGATTTTCAGGTTTTTGAGTTTTCAATTCGATTTTTCAACTGTTTTCAGTCCCTCTATATTTAGATCTCTCAATTTTTAAATTTTCAATTTTTAAACTTTTAGATTTTTCCAATTCTCGATTTCTTGTTCCCTCGATTTTTCTATTTTTCAACTTTTAAATTTTAAAAATATCAATTTTTTGATGTTCTGATGTTTCGATATTTGGATTTCTCAACTTAAAATTTTTCGATTTTTCAATTTTTCGCTTTCAAATTTTTCGATTTTCCAGTTTTTCGAATTTATAATTTTTCTGTTTCTCGATTTATTGAGCTTCCGATGTTTTGATTTTCTGATTGTTCAATTTCACGGTTTTTCGATTTTCCAAAGTTTCATCTTTTCGTTTTTTAAATTTTTCAATTTTTCGATTTTTCAATTTTTTAAATTTTCGATTATGTCGATTTTCCGATTTTTCGCCTTTTCGATTTGTCTATTTCTCGATCTTTTGATGTTTCAGTTTTTGAATTTTTCTATATTCCGATTTTTCGAGGTCTCGGGCTTTCGATTTTTCGACTTTTCGATTTTTTGATTTCTCAATTTCTCGATTAAACGACTTTTTGATTATTTTCTCGATTTTTAAATTTTTTGATCTTTTAGTTGAAAGTTTTTCTGTTTTCGATTTTTTGATTCGATTTCTCTATTTTTTGACTTCAATTTTCGATTTTGCAATTTTTCCGTTTTTCAATTTTTCCATGTTTCAGTTTTGGGATTTTTCAATGTCTATTCTTCAGTCCCTCGATTTTTAGATCCCTCAAGTTTTCAGTTTTTCGACTTTTATGTTTTAGATTTTTCCGTTTTTAGACTTAGATTTTTTTTAAACTTTAGAAATATCAGATGTCTCGATTTTTGGATTTCTCAACTTTAAATTTTTCGATTTTTCAATTTTTCGAATTTATAATTTTTCTGTTTCTCGATTTATTAAGCTTATGATGTTTTGATTTTTTGATTGTTCACGGTTTTTTGATTTTCAGACTTTTTGATTTTTTCAATTTTTAGGATTTTCGTTTTTAAAATTTTTGAATTTGTAATTTTTCAATTTTTCGGTTTTTTGATATTTCGATTTCTCGATTTTTCAATTTGTTAAATTTTCGATTATATCGATTTTTCGATTTCGTAAGTTTTCGATTTTTAGCCTTTTTGATTTTTTGATGTTTCAGTTTTTGAATTTTTCTATGTTCCGGTTTTTCGATTTCCCGGTGTTTTGATTTTTCGGCTTTTCAGTTTTAAAATTTTAGATTTTTGAATTTTCCAATTTATCCATTGGTCAATTTTTCTTCCATGTTTCAAGTTTTTCGATTTTTCAATATTTCAATTTTTGCGTTTCTAAATTTAAAATTTTTCGATTTGTTAATTTCTCGATTAAATGACTTTTTGATTTTCTCATTTCCCAATTTCTCCACTTTCCAGTGTTTCGATTTTTCAGTTTTTCAATTCAATTTTTCGATTTTCAGATTTTTGAATTTTCAATTTTTCGATTTCGACTTCTCGGTTTTAGATTTTTCAATTTTTCGATTTCTCAATTTTCAGAATTTTAAATTTCCCAAATTTTCAACTTTATATTTCTCCACTTTTCGGTATTTCAGTTTTAGGATTCTTCAGTTTTTTTATTCTTCAATTGCTCGATTTTCAGTTTTTCGATATTTCAGTGTTGATTCCAACATTTTCAGTTTCTCAGTTCTTCAAATCCTCGATTTCTCGATTTCATCGTTTTTTAATTTCTGAGTTTTTTCAATTTATCGATTTTTTAATGTAATTTTTCCATTTTCAGGTTTTTCAATTCTTCAGTTTTTCGATTTTTAAGTTTTTCGATTTTCAATTTTCAAAATTTTGATTTTTCAATTTTGACTATTTAAGATTTTACATTTTTCGACATTTCAGTGTTGGAATTTTTCAGTTTCTCAGTTTTTCAATTCTCACATTTTTCGATTCTCCGATTTTTGATTTCTCAATTTTTTACTTAAACTGTCGAGAAATCGAGAAATGAAAAAAGCAAAGAAATCATTTAATCGAGAAATTGAAAAATCGAAGAATTGAACATTTAGGAACATCAAAAATTGGAAAATTGAAAAATCTTAAAACTGAAAGATCGGTAAATTGAAGAATCGAGAAATTGGAGAATTGAAAAATTGAAAAATCCCAACACTGAGATATCGAAAAATTGAAAATCAAATAAAAAAACTGAAAAACCCCAAAACTAAAATGTCGAAAAATTGTAATTTGTAATATTTACCATTTTGATTTTTTTCAAAAAATCTCGATGTCTAGGACAAAAATTCAAACGGATTCATAACTCACAAGTTGGGAACTATTTTGCTTTTCAACATTTTAATACGTTTAGTTTAGTTTTAGTTTAAAATTATATATTTTAGAATTTTTATATATATTCCAATTCTATTCCAATACCAATTCAGTTGTATTTTGCGGCTTAAACAAGTACTCCAAGACTCGTTTAATTGCACTTCCGTGTCCACAACCCTCCCCTACCATAAAAAAAATGAAACCCGAACTTTCTAATCCCCCAACTGCGCCTCAGGGGCCTACACCCCACCGCCTTCCGCATGACGTAACAAATCACCTCCGTTCCAGTGGTGGACTGCCAAGTGACTTCCTGGGGCCCGTGGTCCCCGTGCGACGCCGACTGCGGTCCCGGCTCGATGTCCCGCACCCGATCGATCAAAACCCAGCCCCAGAACGGGGGCCGCCACTGCCCCAGCCTCGAGCAGCGAAGGGGTTGCCAAGTATCGACGTGTCACCACCATCCCGATCCCGCCATCAAAGGTAAGTGGCGGTTTTTCCCTTTCGCCGCCGACGCCGCCTTATGCAAATACCGGCGTCGTAAACCCCCGCGGCCAGATTGTGTATAAGTCGTGAGTTAATGCAGTCGGCGGTTTTATTATTGGCCGTAAAACGGCCGGATCGAATGACGTAATGAGGCGGTAAATCACGCGGTTGCCGCTTTTTCCACGACAATTTGTTAGGACGTAACCGTAAACACTACACATAAGCGCGGGATAAATCAGGGGCGACCGGTTTCGAGTGAAAATGACAGGGATGCGGATGATAATAAATTCGGGAATGCGCGGCGTGGGGGAAAATTATTCATGGGGGGAGGGGGGTTGCGATTGTTTCGGAAGCGGCGTTCTTTCGTTGGATTAACGTGTGTGGGATAAGGGGGCGTTGACGGGTTTAGTGGGCGCAAATTCGGACTTCGCGGATCGTTGTGGAGGGTTTTCGGGTTGGCTTTTTGACGGATATTGAAGCTCGATATCCATGGCACGTCAGCGGGTTTAGTTAACTTGCTGGAGTGGGTGTTTTATGGCCTTTTGATGGGAATTCCTAAACGTATCATTGACTCTTGATGCCGTTATCGGCTAGATTAAGACAAATTCCTAATATGAATTCTTCGCGTGCTCTGTATTGCTGTATCGTGAATTGGTTTTACATGCTTTAAACAAATTTTTCAAACAAGTTGGTGACAAAAGTACTTCCTTTTTACACAAGGCTAATAAAATTATAAAATTATTTAGTGCTATCTCTTTGAATATTAAAATTTTCACCTTCGAAAATTACCCGAAGATATTCCAAATATCTAGAAATTCCTGAGGTTTTGAAAATTTCGAAGGCTTGAGATTCAAATATTCCAAAGACTTTGAAGAGTCCAAAGGTTTCAGAAATTTCAACAACTCTAGAGATTACACAGTTCTAATTTTGAATATTTCGAAGACTGAAGATCGCAAAAATTTTGATTTCGAAGATTCTGAAGATTATAGAGATTCCAACGAGTTCAAACATTATAAAGTTTCCAGAAACCCTGTAAATTTCAAAGGTTTGGGATATTCCGAGATTTCAGAAATCCTTAACACTTTGAAGATTTCGAAGATTTTGGAAATTATAAACATTTCAAAGATTTCACAAGATTCCAAGGAATATGAAGATTCTGAATATTTCCGAAGTTGAAGACCTCAAAAACTTTGAAGATTCCCAAAATTCTGAAGATTATTCTAAATATTTCAAAAATTTCGAGGATTCCAAAAGGTCCAGAGGCTCGGAAAATTTCAGAGATCCTGAAAATTCTGAAGATTCTGAAAATTATAAAGATTGCAAACATTCCAAAGATCCAACGTTATAAAAACTGAAGATTACAAAGATTTTGAATAATATAAAGATTCTGGATATTCCGAGATTAAAGATTCCAGAAATTCTAAAGAATATGAAGATTCTAAATATTTCAAAAACTCTCAAAAATCTATAGAATTTTTAGAATTCCTAGAATCTCTAAAATTCTAGAACGTTTAGCATATCTAGAATGGCTTGAATCTCAAGAATCTCTAGAACCTCTAGAAACTATAGAATTTTCAAAATCTTTAGAATCTTTGGAATGTCTACAGTCTCCAATTATCCGAGAATTATGAAAATTGAAGATTTCAAGGTTTCTGAATATTCTAAAGATTCCAAACATTCTGTATATTCCAAGACTAAAGATTCCAGAGATTTTAAAGAATATAAATACTCTAAACATTTCGAAGGCTGAAGATCCCAAAAATTCTTAAGTCTTTAAAGAATCCCAAGATAATAAATGTTCCAAAGATTTCAAAGATACCAAGATTTCCAGAGATTCCATAAATCCCAAAAATATCCCGGATATTCCGTGTCTCTAGAGATTCCAGAGATCCGGAAAGTTCTGAGGATTGTGAAAATTATAAAGATTAAGAAAATTTCAATTGGAGATTCTAAAAATTATGAAAACTGAAGATTTCAAAAATTCTGAATATTATTTAAATTCCAAAGGTTTCAAAACTGCAAAAATTCTGGGTACTCCGAGACTAGAGATTCTAAGGATTTTAAAGTATATGAAGATTCTAATATTTCGGACAATAAAGATCTCAAAAATTCTGAAGACTTTAAAATTCCCATGATAATAAATATTCCAAAGATTTCAAAGATAACAAGATTTCTAGAAGTTCCACGAATTCCAAATATCCGGATATTCCGAGACTATAGAGATTCCAGAGATCCTGAAGGTTCCAAAAATTCCAGATTTTCTGAGACTCTAAAGATTATAAAGATTCTAAAGATTGCGAAGACTAAAAATTACAAATATAAAAACTGAAAATTACAATGATTTTGAATATTCTAAAGATTCCAAAGATTCCAGAAATTCCAAAGATTCTGGATATTCCATGTCTAAAGATTCCAGAAATTCTAAAGAATATGAAGATTGTAAACATTTCGAAGACTAAAGATCCCAAAAATTTTTAGAACTTTTAGAATTTCTAGAATCTCTAAAATGTCTAATCTGTAGATGATTTAGAATCTTTAGAATCTCTAGAACATCTAGAAACTATAGAATTTTCAGAATCTTTAGGATCTCTGGAATTTCTACAGTCTCAAACTATTCAGAAATTATAAAAAGTGAAAATTTCAAAGATTCTGAATATTCTAAAGATTCCAAAGATTCCAAAGATTCCAGAAATTCCAAAGATTCTGGATATTCCGAGACTAACGATTTCAAAAATTCTAAAGAATAAGAAGATTGTAAATATTTCGAAGGCTAAACATTCCAAAAATCTTTAGAACTTTTAAGATCCCTAGAATCGCTTGAATCTTAAGAATCTCTAGAGTCCGTAGAACCTGTAGATGATTTAGAATCTTTAGAATCTCCAGAACCTTTAGAAACTAAAGAATTTTCAGAATCTTCAGAATGTCTGGAATTTCTACAGTCTCAAATTATTCGGAAATTATGAAAACTGAAAATTTCAAGATTCTGAATATTCTAAAGATTTCAAAAATTCCAAAGATTCCAGAAATTCCAAAGATTCTGGATATTCCGAGTCTAAAGATTCCAGAAATTCTAAAGAATATGAAGATTGTAAATATTTCGAAGGCTAAAGATACCAAAAATCTTTAGAACTTTTAGAATCTCTAAAATGTCTACGTTTAACATCTCTAGAATCGCTTGAATCTCAAGAATCTCTAGAGTCTGTAGAATCTGTAGATGACTTAGAATTTTTAGAATCTCTAGAACCTCTAGACACTATAGAATTTTCAGAATCTTCGGAATCTTTAGGATCTCTGGAATGTCTACAGTCTTGAATTATGTAGAAATTGTGAAAACTGAAAATTTTAAAGAATCTGAATAATCTAAAGATCCCAAATATTCCAGAAATTTCAAAAATTCTGGATATGTCGAGACTAAAGAGTCCAGAGATTCTAAAGGATATGTACATTGTAAATATTTCGAAGACTAAGGATCCCAAAAACCTTTAGAACTTTAGAAACTCTAGAATTTCTAAAATGTCTAGAACGTTTAACATTTCTAGAATCGCTTGAATCTCAAGAATCTCTAGAGTCCGTAGAATCTGTAGATGATTTAGAATCTTTAGAATCTTTAGAACCTCTAGAAACTATAGAATTTTCAGAATCTTTAGGATCTCTTAAATATCTACAGTCTCGAATTATCCGGAAATTGTGAAAACTGAAAATCTCAAAGATTCTGAATATTCTAAAGAGTCCAAAGATTCCAGACATTCCAAAGATTCTGGATATTCGATGTCTAAAGATTCCAGAAATTCTAAAGAATATGAAGATTGTAAATATTTTGAAGATTAAAGATTCCAAAAATCTTTAGAACTTTTAAAATTTGTAGAATCTCTACAATGTCTAGAACATTTAACATCTTTAGAATCGCTTGAATCTCAATAATTTCTAGAGTCCGTAGAATCTGTAGATGATTTAGAATCTTTAGAATCTCTAGAACCTCTAGAAACTATAGAATTTTCAGAATCTTTAGGATCTCTGGAATTTCCAGTCTCAAATTATTCGGGAATTATGAAAACTGAAAATTTCAAATATTCTGAATATTCTAAAGATTTCAAAGATTCCAGAAATTCCAAAGATTCTAGATATTCCGAGTCTAAAGATTCCAGACATTCTAAAGAATATGAAGATTGTAAATATTTCGAAGGCTAAAGACCAAAAATTTTTATAACTTTTAGAATCTCTAAAATGTCTAGAACATTTAATATCTCTAGAATCGCTTGATTCTCAAGAATCTCTAGAATCTCTAGAACCTCTACACAATATAGAATTTTCAGAATCTTTAGGATCTCAGGAATGTCTACAGTCTCGAATTATCCAGAAATTATGGAAACTTAAGATTTCAAAGAATCTGAATATTCTAAAGATTCCAAAGATTCTGGATATACTGAGACTAAAGAGTCCAGATATTCTAAAGAATATGAAGATTGTAAATATTTCGAAGACTAAAATCCCAAAAATTCTAAAGTCTTTAAAGATTCCCAAGATAAAATTATGTTCCAAAAATTTCAAATATACCAAGATTTCCAGAGGTTCCACAAATTCAAAAGGTCCCGGATATTCCGAGATTCCAGAGATCCTGAAGGTTCTGAAGATTGTGAAAATCATAAAGATTAAAAAGATTTCAAAGATTCCAAACATTCCAGATATTCTGAGATTCTAAACATTCCAACGATTCTAAAGATTTGGAAGTTTGAAAATTCCAAATATTATAAAAACCGATGATTATAAAGATTTTGAATTTTATAAAGACTCCATAGATTCAAGAAATTCCAAAGATTCTGGATATTCCGAGACTAATGATTCCAGAGATTTTAAAGTATATGAAGATTCTAAATATTTCGGAGACTAAAGATCCCAAACATCTCTATAATTTTTAGAATCACTAGAATCTCTAAAATGTCTAGAATTTTTAACATTTCTAGAATCGCTTGAATCTCAAGAATCTCTAGAGTCCGTAG